CAACGGGCCTGTAGTCCCAAACGATAGCTGGGGATTATGGGTAGTGTAGTGTCTTCGGCCATCCTAAACAGAATTTTTTCTCGGATAAAATATTGCATTAACAACACCACATCTGGCGTTACAGAGATCTTCTGTTACTGTCCTGTCTTCTTAGAAGAAGTACAGAAACACGTAACTCTGGATTTGTTTTAATGTTTGAGGTGCAATAAACGACACAGCAGCTTTTTGGCATGTTAAAACTATTATTTTCTGCCTCGCTCATGAGAGTAACAGCTGGCGAAATTACAGCCTCGCTTACTGATTTCAAATGTGTGCTCCAAAATGATATTTATAAATGACTATTATCATTATTATAAGCAAGACAATAAATGGCAAAGATATGTAGAAATAAACGTATTTAAGATACGTTCATAAGAAACGTAACGTGGGAGAAAATATGTTTCTAGAAGATATGTAGAAAATAAACGTATTTGAGATACGTTCATAACGAACGTAACGTGGGAGAAAATATGTTTCTAGCTAAACGTAATTGAGAATGCAGTTTAGTTCTGTGGGAACGTAATTTTTAGGAGACAGGGTTGGTATGTGTACACATCCGGCTCCTACCTACTCGGTTTAGTCATCGTCCTCATCATCATCATCGCTGCTGGGTTCGGCAGCCTGAAATGACAGATTATCAGTTATCCCTTGTCCTTTGTCATGTGGTGTTCAACAGGGCTCAATCATTGGGCCTCCACTGTTTTCAATTTTGATTGTTTGTTATCCTATAGGTCCAAAAGATACACAGGAAATGTTTCAGTAGAAGTTCAATTTCTAACCCCAATTATCTTTTCTGGATGCCCATATTTGCCTGCTGATCAAAATCTTGGCCACATTTTTAAGAAAACACATATCTAGAATGCCATGGTGTATCATGTATCAATGCCATGATCAATGCCCATACCCCACCTGAAAAAGTTACTTTAAAATAGTTTTGAAAAGTGTTTACTAGTTCATTGACAGGATTAACTGTTAAGCATGAATTATATCCAGCAAATTGAATTTTTCATCAAGTAATGAAATAAATTGAAACCAATAGCTTTCTGGATGGGTTGGAATTGTCCTTTGGAAAAAAAGATCGATGGATTGTTTTCGTTGGACCACAGCTTTGTAAACCAGCCGCAATTGTTCTTTAAGGAATTAGCTGACCAATATAAAATAATTCTGCAAAAGCAAACTATTACCTATAATTTTAGGTAAATTGTTGCTGCTTTTATCTGTTGTACATCATTGAACACTGATTTGGTTTTTGGACTGTCAGGACAAAAGCAAAGTTTTTTGTTCTACAGTCATTTATGGGGCGAAGCCTGCGAGCTAGTTCAGGCAGTCAACTCGAGCACTTATGCTGCATTCATACATAATGCCCCCTTGCCACTCTACAACCAACCAAACAGAGTCTCCTTAATATGCCGCTCTATTTAACCTGCCAGATCTCTCTCCATGCATTGCTTGCTGCTGCTATTGCTGCAGCTACCTCTACGTCGCTGCTGCTTGCCTGCCCCACCACCCCAGCTTCCACCCCAGCTTCCACCTGTAGGTTCGGGGGTTAGTTATTTAATCATCACTCATCGTGCTATGTATATCTATGGAGTGATGATGCCCGAGCCTAGTCGCCAAACTCATCTATACTGTATGCTGCTTCTAATAAACATGTTAAAGGAACACGTGAGTTGTCTGACTGAAATATACTTATTTATCAAATATCAGCAAGTTGACCACATAAACACATAAAATAATGATACCAGTCAAAAATGCTTTGAATGAAAACAAACAGAAAAGGATATTGCTTGAAAACTTAGAATTTATTCTTAAGGAAAATGACATTTGAGAAATATCAAATGAGTTAATAAACATTTGCAGTACGTGTCACACACTGTCGAAATACAAGGTACAAGGTTACACAGTACTTCATAACACTATAAAAGTTTAAATAAATGAAGACTATTTGACTATCCTAAAACGTGGCTATTTGATTATGATCATGTTGCAGCACCAAATTCAATCATTTAAAGTAGTTGTGTCTGAATGTAAACGAAGAAGAAATGGTCTTGCAATCCTTCCGATCTTCTCATCGACTTCAAACATTAGTTGGCATCTGCAAAGAAAAATGTAACAATTAAAACCAAATTGTAATAATTTCATAAATTCTCACTATATGACAACAATCTTCATAATTTTTTCAATACTTCTGTTTATCAGCAGTACAAAAACGTTAATGCATTTAAAGTAACATATAGATTGATGAGTATACCTTGTTTGTCTGCGTGGGCTGGTCTTGCTGGAGAGTCTGCAGGGGATCCTGGGATGGGAGAGCATTGAATCCAGTATCGAAGGTAGGAATCTGAGAAAAGAAATGCAAAACCTCAGGAGTGAAGAAATGCTCAGTTGTAGCGTATTTATACTTTAGATTTTTTAACCCTCACATTTGGGATTTGTTGGGGAATATTTTGAAGGGGGAAGTCAAATGGCAGCCCCTTTGAGAAAAAAACAAAACAAAGTGGTTGGTCATATTTATATGATAAATATAAAAGTCATAATTTAATAAACAATCCTCACATGTGGCATCTGAGGGGCGTTTGTCATAGGAGGGATGTTTGTCATTATCTGAAATAAAAGCAAATATCTTCATTTAGTTTAGTTTTATTTTATATTCTAAATCATATTAAAGTTAAATTGTTTACCCTTTGCTGGGAGAAGTCGTATGGGTAGTACTGCAAATGAAAAAAAACACAAAAAGCAGAAAAATATCATTAAGAATTGCGCCAACAAGTAGTTTATTATTATCATAACTAAAGTATTTTAAGTGTCAAAAGTGACTTTAATTTTGAATGGGGAAACACAACAACACTTACTACTTCCACGCTCTGTTTGCCAGGTGGCTGAGGAATGGATATTTTCATGAAACCATGGGAAGCAAAGGGCTGCAAAAAGAGAGAAAGAAAATTGGTTAGCAATTGTGTAAATGTTTATCCAATTTTTATGAGAAGATGCTTCTGTAAAGTGGGCATACCTGTGCAGGGTTGGACCCACCGGCACCACCAGCAAAGCTATGAGGATAAATCTTAGGAAAAAAACACAAGTGCAACATTATAATTTGTACATGAGTACAGACTGCCAAAAATACATCTCTCAATAGAAAGAAAGCCTGCATATAAAATAAGTTCTCACCAATTCCACGCTGTAGGCACCAGCTGCCCCGGGTTGTGGCAGAGATGGAATTGCGAAGGGATTTCTCACCTGAATGTGAAATTTAGATGGAACAATTTCAGTTTACAGTGAACTCTACATAGCAATATTTCTGCTGTGTCTCATATCTGAGCCTTTATTCAGTAGTATGTTTACATTTTTACAAACAAACAACTTTTGAAAGACTTAAACACCCCACAATAATTACCTGTGAGGGTGCTACCTGTGGCCTGGAACCCGCATAATGAGGCAGGTAATGAAAGATGGACTGAAAAGCAAGAGAAAAACAGAAATAGTTATATTAAAAAAACTTCATAAACCTGCCAGGATTGAGAAAAAACAACCTTTGTTTATTAAAACTTACAGGAGCAGCTGAGGCGCTGGCCAGACAGAGGCACAGGATGATCAATTTCATTTTGCAGATTGTTGAAGTCCTGCAGATACAAATCATCACATTATTAAAAATCTATTTCGACCTGAATGGTTGGAGGTCATTATAAAAGTATGCATTAACTTGTGTAGAAATTCTTCATAACTAACCTTCTGGAATAGAAGACTGTAGGAGATGATGACTGTCGATGTTGGAGATGATTCCAGTTGATCGTATCTTCTGCAGAGTTACTTCATCTTTTATAGGGTGCCAGCTCACCTGAGAGCCAATCAGAGTCTAGTGATGTGAGCCAATGAGTAGGTGCAGTGCAGGTGTCTAGTCCTCAGCTTTACTAAATGAGCGGTGGTCAAATCCACCTTCTGTGTAATAGCTGACTCTGCTTGATTACACTGTCTAGAGAAGTGTACACCTTCATCCTGCCTGCTCATCATTCTGCCACCACAACCTTACTGGTTCTGTATAACTGCAGCTTTGTGGCATATCTGATACTGCAACATTATGTATATTATATATGTGAATCTAAAACTAAATGTAATAGTAATGGTTTTCTAGTTGCTTGCATGTTAATTGTGTTTCAAAAAATGAGCAGAGCAAAAAAGTATATTCAAGCAACTGCAGCGGAAAAAATGAACGTTTGCTCATATATATATTCTTCTGTGAATATTTACAGTAAACAATATGATAAATATAGGTTCGCTATGTTTTAGCAGTCTTCATATGTCAGTGTGTGCCCTTGAGTAACATTACCTAAATGAACACTGTAATAATCTCATTACAAACACTAAATGTGATTCAAAATGTACTTATTTTTGGCCATTATATTCAATGTCTGTGGATTGTGCACTTAAGTTTGTTTTATTAGTGAAATGTAATGTAAAAAGTAGTATAAAGCAAAGAACTCCAGGAATGGATGAGTTGTTTTTTATTTGATAGAAGTTACAAACATGCAGGACTCAAAACTGGGATAAAAAACACACTCATCTTCATTTAGCAACATTCATATTACGATTCACAGCCCCCTTTTTCTGCTTTTAATTCACAGACAAGCATTGCACCATGTGCAGGGAGACATTTAGTACCTAAGAAATAGAAACACTATTTTCTTCTCAAAAACCTTTCATGTTTCATATTTTGAAAAACAGCAGTGGCTAGTCATCTTCACTGTGGTGGTCTTGTTTTATTCATCTCCTAAAGTGGGAAGGAGAGCAAAAACACTGTAACTGTTCTTGTTTACACAAAACATTTTCACTTAAAGAAAGAAAATATATGTAATATTTTGTTTCAAACTTTAAAACCTAAAAGTCTGGATTATGCATGTGCCTTCTATACATGTCAATTATTTTTGTGTGTGTATATGTACACATCCGGCTCCTACCTACTCGGTTTAGTCATCGTCCTCATCATCATCATCGCTGCTGGGTTCGGCAGCCTGAAATGACAGAGACTTGTGAGGAGCCAGTCAGGAGTGAGGATCTTTTGCTGATGGGTTGATATTTTTCTACACCTCAGCCAAAATAGTTGTAAGTGTGTCACTCTGACGCAATACTAATTTACTAGAATGAACCTGTTGCATTACCACTGCAATTCAATTCAGTTTCCTGCAAGCACTTAATGAACATTGCAATCAATCAATCCAATAAACCAAAATCGGCCAAAATAAAAATATAACTTACTGGTTTACTAGCAGCAACGATGCGTTGAACAGGGGCAGCTGGAACTGCAGGAGCTGCAGGAACAACAGGGGCCACAGGGGCCACAGGTACAACAGGGGCAGCAGGAACAACAGGAGCAGGTTTTGGTGGGTCAAAACCGAAAGGGTAGTACTGGACGACATTAGAAAGAGAAGATATCATCAGTTCAATAAAATGTTATAAATCTTCAATCAGAGGAATGCAAATCTGCAGGCACTTACCACTTCTCTAGTGCCTTTAACGTTCGGCCAGGAGACGTCTTGCTTAATGAAGCCACGGCCCTTTCAATGACACACATTCAGGCACACATTAATATTGTTGGACTACATGTTTTTAGGCTTTGATTGTTTTTGGTTTAAGCATCTATTAAGTACTTTATCCATAGAGACAATTCAGGATTTACTATTGGACTCACAAGTCCTGCAATAGGCCTTCCTTTGGTATCAACCGGGAGCAGCTGGAAAATAAACAACCCAGATTATTATCATAGAATAAGTGTTATTTTTTTAAATAATAATTAAAGATATTCTAAAGAATAAATACTTACAACGTCCAGTGAATCAGCTGGGGCTCCAGCAGGAATAAGATGCTCTGCCTGAAAAGGAAAATAATATAATTTGTAACCTTAAGTTCGAGAGAAATAGCAGAAAACTACAAGTAAAAGAGACACCAGCAGGCTCGACTATAGAGAGACTCAGTGGTAAACATATAATAGCAGACCTGTGTTATTCAGTTTCAAAATGTGACTTTTACTGTGGTTTGTGTGTCACAGCTGTGTCTCAGTGTACCTGAGCCGGAGCGTGAACGATGTCAAACTCCATGTACATCTGCTGCTGTAAAGAAGAGAAGATAACACTGCAGTGTCAAGGCAATGCAGGTGAGTGTAAACTCAATAATTCAGACAAATATGAATTGCTAAATGTTGTATTTTCACTGTTAGTATTTTTACATTGTCTATGACCATCAGGCATAAGAAGTTGCACAGAAATCCAAGCCAAAATCAATCTGCTGATTATGTTTATTATCTGCTTTTATAATGTACTGAATATGGAGCTCCAAAACAGCTACTTAGACTAGACAGAACAAAAACATTCATAAAAGAGAGAAATAATATTTTAGGAAGTGAAGGTTTTTTCCTTACAGGGGCGCAGACTGCCATCCCAAGGATGCAGGCAGCAAGCAAGAACAATTTCATTTTGTAATCCAGCTGCCAAAAAGATGTTTGAGTTATAAGATCTGAAAATATTCATTCATTTGAAAGAGCATCTAAACAAATTATCAAATACATGTTATATGCTATCAGTTGTATTCATTACCTTTCCTCTCTGGCAATACACGGGTACTGAAGAATTGTTGAGGAGGGATGTGTTCTCTGCAGAGAGATTTACTCCTATTTATTAGCTGTGGACACACAAACCCATGACAGGTTTTGGTAACAAGCCAAGGAATTTTATTTTCATCTGACAAAATTGGCCGTTATATCTGTGTGAGAAATGTCTTGACAGATTTTTGGCATGAAACGCACATCCATCACATTTTATCCTTCATTGATGCCATCAGACGAACCCTTCCAACATCCTTTACACCCAAAGCCCAAAGGGGATCAAGGCTATATAGATGATACATTGATGCTTTTGAACAATATGCTGTAGCTGTAGTACCTATATATTATGTATTTTAAGTGGTTATTCTAAAACAGCACATCTTATTGTACACTTCTACCTCTTATACTAGATAACATAGCTGATTATGATTTGAAGATTAATATTATATTGCAGTTGTACCTTTTTTTATTCCTTCATGACAATCACAACATGTTTGCAGCCTATTAAAACTTTCTAATGTTGACTCAAACTCGCTCAACTTTTGTTAAATGCAGACTGGTAAATATTTGTGGTTTCAGTTATTTGCCTGTGGGTAGAAGCTGTCACATGGCAACCATAGACTGTGAAGGCAACCTTACATCATGGTGTTACTGGGCAGAATAAAACACTGTGCTGTATACTTAAATAGGAGAAGTTACGACACTACTGAATTTGTAGGAACGACTCCAACTTTATTGAACACAATTAAAATGTAAAGACCAAACAGGGGCAGTGTGCTTTGCTGGAGGGCATTTTTCAACATTATGATACAAACAAGATTGGGGTGTTGCAAGATTGGGGTGTACTGTAGCTGAGAAAATCAGTCTGAGCCAAGAAAGTCAAATTGCATTGTGCATGTGCATGGTGTCACAATATATATTGTTTTTTCAGTGATTGTAAGTGACCAAAAAAAATCAGGTTAAAATGACTGTTATTTGACAAAAATCATCAAAACACGCAGACCCAGGTTTAAACAATTCAGATTGAAACTTTATTATTGTAATAATGGGGCTGCAGTGTCAGACAAGGTTTCCCTGAGTGGGTTGGAGTTTGGCTTGAACAGATGTTTGGACAGTGGCTGATTGCTGCGCTGTTCTCTCCAAACCCACAGGTATCAAGTTAGTGTTTGGCTGAGGCCCAGACCTGGCCAGCCCCCCTGTCTGTGGGACTCCAGCCGAGGTCCTGGCTGTTGGCACCATGCCTTGCTTCTCTGGGTTTGCGAGCCCAGCGGCCTGGCTCACAGGCAGAATGGCTCCAGCAGGCAAGTTTTTAAGCACATTGGTCAGGTACATGGCCAGCTGGCCCATTTCAGCTGCCATCTGAAATACGGAAGAAAAGAGATATACTGTAAGGGGCCAGGGAGAGGGAACAATGTGATCATCAAGGGCATCACTGGGTTCACTGAGCAGATTGTTTGAACAGGCTGACAGACAGATACAATCTTGGATGTGTTACCTGGAGTTCCTCTGAGCTCAAACTGCCAAGGGTAGGACTCTAGTAAAGAATGACAAACAATGTAAAATAAACATAATCATAAATAAGAAATATAAACCTGACTGTGATAATGACTCTATCTGAGTTTACATTTTGCATTATATATTTACCTTGGATTGCTGGAGCATGTATACAATTTGGGGATTCTGTAGAAGAAAATCAGAAAGTCTGAGCATAATGCAGGATTTATTGTCCCTTAAATGTTGCCATATTAATGTTGAATATGATCTATTTTTAATGATATAATCACTGCTGTCAGACTTAAATTTAGGAAAGGTAAACACACCTGTTGTTGCTGCAGCACGGGTTGAACTGCACCTGAAGGAGCAGGACCAGTAAGAGTTTCTGCAGGAAACACAGGACTGTTCGGAGGTGAATTTGCTGGATTTTGTGGAAGGGTTGGTTCAACAATCATCGGGTATCCATATGGGGAGAACTTGAAGACAGAAAAATTACATTTATATGTCAATACTTGTCAACTGTTTCTGTACAGAGACAGGAGATCACTTAATTGTCTCATAATCGAAACATCAGACAATTAGATACAAAGTATTACAATTACATCACTTGTGCACAAAAAAATCAAAACAGCATCCAACTTTCCATCATACAATCTTATATAAAGTGACAGATTTTCGCAAAGTACAGATGTCTATATTTCCATACCACTTTATGTTAGTACAGGTTCAGGTTTCCCATACAATAGATGTTGACAGCTTAAAACTTGTGCTGTTAAAAATGTTGAAGACCCCCCAGGTGATATCTCTCAAGCTGGGTGGTTGGAAAATATTATTGCATCTGCAGTGTACAGTTCTTTGTAGTTCAGTAGAGAGCAGTACATGCTGTTCTTTTTGCAATACATAGACAGATTGATAAGACAAGATAGCACATGTTTAATATCTCACCATTTGGTTCCTATAGGCAGATGAGAGAAGAGGGAAGTAACTATATGGAGGATAAACCTGTAAAAAACACTCAAAATGAGTTTCATTCTTGTATGAATGGTATTTATTTTTGCTATAGCGTACAATAAATACATTGTTTGTTTGTTGTAAATGTTCCACCCAAAATATTTGTTCTCTTTATGTCCTACCAGAGGCTGCTGTCTGTGTGTCGGCTGGTTAGCAGGCTGAGATCCGTAGACGTTAGGCTGCAGAGGGATAATCATTGGACTGCCCCCTAGTGGAGGCCAGGTGTAGTGTTGTGCTGGAAGCATGAACTGGGGGAAAACCTGGGGACCCGACTGCCAGGGGACCCCCTGCTGCTGGATGACCCCCTGCTGCTGGGTGACCCCCGCCTGCTCCGGTTGCTCCGTATTAGGGGAAAGTGGTGAAAGTGTCTGAGCGTCAAGTAGCTGGTTTGAGAGTTCAGCAACTCTTTGAGCTTGAGTGGGTTTTCCTTGTAAAAGCAAGGGAGGATGGACAGTTGGACGAACCTGAAAATATAGTACAATTTAAAATCCTCCTAGAATTATAATTTTCACAGTAAATTTCACATAATGAGAGTCAAATGTTCAAACTCAGAAACAATAAATAAATGTAGGAGCCAATAAATGAGCCTACTTACCGGTACTGCAGACACCATGTGGGTAACACATGAAAAAACTATTAAGATAATCATTTCCAAATAGAAATAGTTCCCACAAGACCAATGAAAGTTGTGAGGGATGTCCACTTAGAGCTTGTAGAGTAAATTCCATGTAACCTTATGGTAAGGGGCCTTGACTTATGCACTACTCACAGAGAGAAACAACCAATCACAAGACAGCAAAAACAGACATATTCAACCTAATCTTCTGGTGTGGATGAAGCAATGGGGTGAAGTCAAAGAAAATCCATTGAATGCCAGTTTTACTTCAATTATGATGCTGTAATGTCTACAAAAATGAACAAACAAACCATTAAGAACCTAGGGCTTGTGGTTTTCCTGTGGGTGCAAGTGATGTGTCAGTGTCTCACTGATGTAATTATGGTCAAACAAAAAAATGTGCGACGAAAGAGAAAAAAAAAAGAAATATACAATTCGTAGAAAAGTAGGTATAACGTTTCAGGCGTGGACCTTTGTCTGACATCAAATTCATAAAATAAACCATCATTCAATTCCAGACCACAAGTTGAGACAAGCAATCAAAAGGGAAGCCAGGACCTACAAAGATGATGGTCAATCACTGAAACCTTTCTCTACTGACTGTGCAGAAATTCAAAATGTTTAATTTACACCTGTGTGTGATTGAGACAAAATGTAGTCAGACACAATGAAGATTGGGCAAAGCTATGCAGTTTTCACTAAGTGGTGTGTATAAAAATGTACTGTATGTCTTTTTAGCTTGGCACTGTCAGACATTGCAAGTATACAAAAGTGCACAAGGGGGCAGAGTAAAGCTGGAGTTATTTTTCTAATTCAAGAATCTAAATTTAATCCAGGAATAGCTGTGCATAATGTAACAGATAATGGTTTCATTGTGGACAAGGTACCTTGTCATGTACATAGTATGTATGAAGTTACGTGTTCCCACCCTAGCATGCACAGTGAAGCAAGGTGACACCCTGGACAAGTAACCAGTATTTACATGGTCAACAGTAATAAGCAGATGCACACTCACTGTTGTTCAGAGCTTTTAGTATAAAACCCACAATATGTCTTTGCCAATTGGCAGCAATCTGATAACCTGCATCTGATTGTAAAGTAAAGACTTAGAAAAACATGAGGATAAGAATAAAAGTAAAAAAGCAACCTCTGTATTTTAAAATGACATTTTATTTTTAAAAACCCCCAACAAATACAAATAATAGAATGTGCAAAAATCATTATTCAGTGCTTGATTTTGTATTGATGTACACAAACCTTGACCTGTTGTTTGGCTGGTTTATATAATTTAATAAACACATTCATAAAGAGCAGCTCTGAAAAACCCACCATTTTGGCACAAACCATGAAAAGACATTATAGAATGTGCTTTAATACAATAAGAAAATGTATATTTGTGAGAATGATAATGCAGGGGTACAGTAAAGTCTCTGTGATTAAATGCAGTACAGTGTGATGATGAATGAGTCGAGTCATGATAAAAGTAGGCTACAGAGTGACAGACTTCCCAGATGAAGTCAGGTATTAAAGGCTCAACGCTCATCCCTTTCTTAAGCTGTGTTGATCCAGAGATGGTGATGTGTGTGCCCACTGAGACTGTTTCACACCAGTGTGACATCAGCATCCACCCTGAGGTGTCTCCATCGCCGTTCAAGACCAACCTCCAACAAAACGAATAATTAAACCCCAACAAAGTAAATGTTTCACTTTTTACACATTTTAAATCACAATATATCAGTACATTCTTAAAGTTGTCCTATGGAGTGTGGCATAAGAAAATGCTATTTCAAATTATATGAACATTGACAGAGGAGTGAAAAGAAAATACACATAAAAAGGTTGCTGAACCAATACTGAAACTTGCCAACGAAAAATAAGTTCAGAAAATCTGGGTTCACACAT